GATATTCCCACACAAGAGGCTGTTCTGGAAACTGGAACATGCTGGAGGGGTAACAGGGAGACTTTTGACATGGATGAAACATTTTCTGACAGACTGATGAGGGCAGTAATCACAGACAATGTATCTGACTGGAAGAGTGTTACTAGTGGAGTACCACAGGGTTCAATTCCTGCACCAGTAATGTTCATAGTCTACATAAACAATCTACCAGAAGGAATACAGAAATATATGAACATGTTTGCAGATGATGCTAAGAAACTGGGGAAGTTAGAAGGCACAGACAATTGTAATGCTCTCAAATCAATCTAAATAAAGTAAGTGCTTGGAGTATAGTAGAAAATAGAATTCAATGTGAATAAATGCCATGTTATGGAATGTAGAATCGGAGAAAATAGACCACATACAACTTACAAATTATGTGGAAAGGAATTACAGTACAGAATTCAAATAGCGAGCGAGACCTAGGGGTGGTTTTGGATTGTAAGCTGTCGCCAAAGGAACACACATAAAGAACATTGTGAGTGGAGCAAATGCACTGCTTTCCAACTTCAGACTTGCTTTTAATTATATAAATGGTGAAATACTAAAAAACCTGTTCATGACTTTTTTGAGATCAAAATTGGAATATGCAACAGTTTTATGGTGCCCAAATCTCAATTGGCACATAAAGAAACTGGAAAATGTGCAACGGCATGCTACAAAATGGCTTCTGGAACAGAAAAACAAGAGTTACAAGGAGAGACTAGAGGCATTAAACATGCCAAAACAAGAAGATAAGAAAAAAAGGGGATATGATCACCACTTACAAAATAATAACAGGAATCGACCAAACTGACAAGGAGGAATTCCTGAAACCAGCAACATCACAAACAAGAGGACACAGATTCAAGCTAAGGAAACATAGGTGTCGAAAAAACATAAGAAAGTTTTCTTTTGCAAACAAGAGTGGTAGATGATTGGAATAAGCCAAGTGAGAAGGTGGTGAAGGCCAAAATCATCAGTAGTTTCAAAGAGTTACATGTATATGACAAAGAGTACTGGGAAGACATGACATCATGAGCATAGCTCTTCTCATCCTGTAACTACACTTAGGTAATTACACACACACATTATTGTTGTATCCAATTTTATATTGTCACGGTAAAATCTCTAGGAAGAGATTCGGCCTGCTCCCTAATCGCCTATTCTACTCATTCACGTCTATGTAATCAAGAACTGCAGCCAAGACCAAGAACAACAACTACTTCCAGACGGCTAGACAATAGCACAAGTCTCCCTCCTCTACCAGGGCCCGTCACCCCACCTCTACCAGGGCCCGTCACCCCACCTCTACCAGGGCCCGTCACCCCACCTCTACCAGGGCCCGTCACCCCACCTCTACCAGGGCCCGTCACCCCACCTCGCACCTGGGTCGCTGTGAGGCCACGCCCTTCCAAACAAGCAGTTAAAGCAGCCGGTTCCTAGTTAAAGGAGACTATCAACGCCCTCTGGCCAGCCAATATTCTGTATATATAGGGCTACCAAGCTCTCCAAGTTTCAGATTACTCCTGTGTGCTCCACTGAGTAGACCTATTGACACATCTCGGTGTGGTAAGATTTAGTCAGACTGGCTCATGGTATTCTGCACCATATATTATTTTGCATCTTAACGTAACGTAAATTTGATTATTCATCTTGTTTGTTTTGCACACTTTGTACTAAAGCCAAGCCTGGATATTATATATTTTGTAATTTGTTTAAAGTAATTTCTATTAAAGTAAAGTATTTTTAAATTTTGGTTCTGTATGTTTTCTCCTACAGTTAACCACACTGTGAAGACACCTTTTGCAGTCTAACTTTTTTTGTTTTTTGTTTTTAAATATTTTGTGACTGGCATTACAGACTGCTTTACCATCAACGTAAGTCACAGTATTTATATGCTTTTCCTAAATAAAATATATATATACTGTATACTGTACTTCTAGCGGTTATATGCCATGTCAAAAATAATAAAGAATTGTATTCCTTCTGTTTATGCAGTAACATTTTTATGTTCCATTGATATTTTTGCTGTTCCAATTATCATTTAATAATTTTCATTTTTTATTGATCTACCTCAATTCATTATTGTTTATCTCATTCAGTTTTAAGTCTTTTTAGTTTTTTATTTCATGCACGAAACACACTGTTTATTAGTGGCTTTATGGAATTGTACCTGACCTACCCATCAATTACACAATCTTCTTTTAAAAAGTGCCTGTACTTGTATGTATTTTTGCTTAAATAAAGATTGCAGGTGACGAGTCACAATAACGTGGCTGAAGTATGTTGACCAACCCACACACTAGAAAATGAAGGGACGACGACATTTCGGTCCATCCTGGACCATTCTCAAGTTGATTGTGATGAGGGAATTGATTGATTGATGAAGATTAAGCCACCCAAAAGGTGGCACGGGCATGAACAGCCCGTAAGTGGTGGTCTTTTTGAGCCATTACCAGTATCAATAGATGATACTGGAGATCTGTGGAGGTGCGACTGCACCCTGCGTGACAGGAACAATCTTTATCAATCTATCAATCTTCCCTTATCAGATGGGGGAGACATCTCCCGTCACGCAGGGTGCAGTCGTACCTAAACAGATCTCCAGTATCAGCTAATGATACTGGTAATGGCTCAAAAGGGCCACCACTTACGGGCTAGTCATGCCCGTGCCACCTTTTGGGTGGCTAAATTTTTATCATCATCAGCTTAAACAGTCACGGGGGAGACATCTCCCGTCACGCAGGGTGCAGTCGCACCTCCACAAATCTCCATTATCATCTAGTGATACTTGTAATGGCTCAAAAGGACCACCACTTACGGGCTATTCATGCCTATGCCACCTTTTGGGTGGCTTAATCTTCATCAATCAATCAATTCCCTCATCACAATCAACTTGAGAATGATCCAGGACGGACCGAAACGTCATCGTCCCCTCATTTTCTAGTGTGTGGGTTGGTCAACTTAAATAAAGATTATTATTATTATTATTATTATAAATGAGGAATGGTCAAATTATACAGAAGCATTTTGACTGTATTTTCAAACTGTAAAAAGCTTATACAGTGGCACCTCGACTTACGATTGCCCCGACTTACGATAATTTCGCGTTACGATGTAAATTTCACCGAAAAATGCGACTCGACATACGATGGTGTCGTTGACTAACGATATTTATTTGTACACGTTCGGGTCAACCGAGCGCATAGTTCCAGGTCACGCGGCCGACCTTCCTCAGTTTACTACAGCTGCCCGCTTAGTGACGATCGCGCCTATAAGAAATTCTTCTTTTGTGGTGATTTTTTTGCATTTTGAACATTAAAGTAATTATTATATATCACGCCATGAGTCCCAGGAAAGTCAGTGCTAAGGCTCAACATACGAAAACCCACGTAAGAATGACCATAGAGCAGAAACAAGAGATCATTCGTAAATATGAAGATGGTGTGCGGGTTGTTGAACTAGCTAGGCAGTACAACAAATCTCAGTCAACGATATCCACCATACTGGCTAAGAAAAAGGACATTATGAGTGCTAAAGTGGCAAAACGCGTATCAATAATCACGAAACATTGAACACAAACACTTGAGGATGTTGAACAGTTATTATTAATTTGGATACACAGCAAAGAGTTAGTGGGTGATAGAGTTTCAGAGGCCATCATTTGTGAAAAGGCAAGAAAATTGCATGAAGACCTTTTAAAGAAAACCCCTGGAATGAATGATGCAAACGCGAAGAGAGTTTAAGGCAAGCAGGGGATGGTTTGAGAAATTTAGAAAAAGAAGTGGCATTCATAGTGTTCCGAGTGTTGTGTGTTGCGAGGTGGTGAAGAAACACAGCAAAGAACTGACCACCGAAGAACTTCACAAGGAGCAAGAGACAGTTGAGGAAATTTCTTCAGGGGAGAAGGAGACAGTACAGAATGTCCCTTCCTCATTAATTAAGGAAACGTGTGCAGCATGGGAAGAATTGCAAACTTTTGCTGAAATGACTCGCCCAAATCACGGTGCAGTAGGCCATTGCCTTAACCTTTTTAATGTCACTGTGATGCCTCACTACAGAAAAAATTAAAACATATGGAAAAACAAAAATCTCTGGAAAGGATTTTAGTGAGACAAACAAGCAGTGAATCACAACCAGGTCCTAGTAGTATGCAGGCAAAACATAAGAGAGAGTGTACCCCAGAAAAGTCATCACTGCCTGATGTTATAATGGAAGGGGACTCCCCTTCCAAACAGTAACACCTCTCCTCCTCCCCCCTAATCACCATCAAGAGACCTCCATAAAGGTAAGATAAACTTATGTCCTGTATTGTAGTTAGAAAAAAACATTGTATTCAGTATAAAATGTATTTGTAAGTTATTATTTTGGAGGGTGGGGAACGGATTAATTCAATTCCCTTTATTTCTTATGGGAAAAATCGCTTCGACTTACGATCCATCTCTGGGAACGGATTACCATCGTAAGTCGAGGCCCCACTGTACATCATTTGGGTTAGGCTGTGTTAGATGAGGTTAGGTGGAGTGATGTAGAGGTAGGATAAGGTTAGGTAGGTTTTAAAACACATTGGTAAACTGTCTTGAGTGCGATGAGACTTGTATGATTAGGCTAGTTTTGGGTATGTCTAGCAGAGTATTGGCAGCCAAATTTTACTTGAACAACAGACATAGTTGTTTTTAAAAAATATGTAGACTAAATGATAGTGATGGCTGCATCATTTAATCCTTTACATGCTCCCATTGTAACTATTTTTTTGTGTTTACTTCATTTCAATTATTGCTTTTGATAATTAGTTTTAAGTCTTAGCTTTTAAGTTTATTTTCCCACATCTTGCACAGAATGCTGTGCATACTAGTGGCTAGAGGCATAATATATACTTTCTTATCTAGAAATCCAACATTCTGCTTTCAACTAATTTTGTATGTACTTTTCCCTAAATAAAATTACCATTATCATGTTTGATCAACCAAAGACCATACCTGAAACTCGGGGTTCTTAAATACAGGAGCTTTCTTCTCTTCCTTTTCTTCCACGACCTCATCAGTTGTTACCATTTTCTTGAATACTCTTATATGAAACTTAATAACAATACTTAAATGGTGAGGAGGTTCTGGTTTATTTATGACAAGAATGACGCGTCACTACTGACTGTCACTGTCACTACTGTCTGTCACTGTCACTACTGTCTGTCACTACGATAAGATTTCAACAGTAGGTCTTGGAGTTAGGCTTCTTTGTGGCAAGTGCAGTTTGCGTGGTTTCCTTCCAACGACTACACCACGTGCCCAGCGTGCATCTGCCTTCAGCAGACAGGAGGCAGGCAGGAGACAGGCAAGAGACAGTTGTTGTGACAACAACGTCACACTGATACTAATCAGGGTACAAGACGGATCGCACACATATTTTGATAATTTCGCGCACAAAATGTGCACGTTTCGTATATACTAATATGTATGTTTAGTCAATATTAAAAGCACAATATAATGCTATTAACAGTTAAAATATCTTCAGTTTAACAGGCATATGGTTACTAAATGAAGTTCAGTAATGCGATAGGCATATGTTGTTGTTGTGAATTGACGGGCGACGACGATGGAGGTAGCTTCGTAACTGTTGCCCGCCGATGTAAACAACACGTTCGAATGCCCACAAACATGCTCGAACGCACTTAACACTGGAGCGTTACACACAGAAATCATAATAGCGTATGCATCAAATGAAAAAAAAAAAAAAAACAAGGGCCGTGAAGAGAGTTCGAACCTACGTCCGAGAGGATCCCAGACGCGCCTTATAATCGACTGTGCCACGACACATCGATTAAGGCGCGTCTCGGACGTAGGTTCGAACCATCATCGCGGCCCTTGTGGATTTGTTCATTAGAGCGTTGCCGGGTTTTGGAGAAACTCCAATTTTTTTATTTTTTTTATTTGTTTGTTTGTTTGTTTGTTTGTTTGTTTGTTTGTTTGTTTGTTTGTTTATTTATTTATTTATTTATTTATTTATTTATTTATTTATTTATTTATTTATTTATTTATTTATTTATTTATTTATTTATTTATTTATTTATTTATTTATTTATTTATTTATTTATTTATTTATTTTATTTATTTATTATTTATTTATTTATTTATTTATTTATTTATTTATTTATTTATTTATTTATTTATTTATTTATTTATTTATTTATTTATTTATTTATTTATTTATTTATTTATTTATTTATTTATTTATTTATTTATTTATTTATTTATTTATTTATTTACCGCCGATCCCCAACCTCCAAGTGGTTGGACACCATTCCTTCCTCCCGTCCCATCCCAAATCCTTATCCTGACCCCTTCCAGGTGCTATATAGTCGTAATGGCTTGGCGCTTTACCTTGATAATTCCCTCCCTCTTACATTCTTGTAAAACCACTAGCACGCATATATCGTTTTGGGCAAGTCCTTAATTTCTTGCAATGTGCCTGTAAACATTTTTTGTCAATTTCACTGTAATTATTCTACATAAAATTATCTGTACCTGTAAAGCTATACAGTACCTTGTAAACATTTTTTGTCAATTTTTCTGTTAATTATCTAAAAATTATCTGTTTCTGATCGGGGAGAAAAACGCACGCCAGTATGGGGGACTTATTTATTAAATAGTAGAGTAAAGATGATAACTGCAGTAACACAATATGATCAATGTTAAAGTGACTATGAGGCAAAGTCTATACATAGCTGAGTAGATACAGCAGTACTGCAAAAATGAATCTACTGAGAATAAACAGTAGACATTTAAACAGATGCATAGTGCCAGTTAACCAGATTATAATGCAAACTGCAGAACACAAAATATGCTTATTGGCTATAATTAAAGTACAAGACAAATGTTATAACATAGATGAGTGGCACAGGCAGTACAGATATGACCATTGCATTACACAGGAAAGCGGAGGATTTTCTCATGGCAGGAAATAGACACTTGCACAGCGCCTGCGGATCGCGCTGTGCAAGCAGATGATGAAGATTAAGCCACCCAAGAGGTGGCACGGGCATGAATAGCCCGTAAGTGGTGGCCCTTTTGAGCCATTACCAGTATCAAGAATTGATACTGGAGATCTGTGGAGGTGCGACTGCACCCTGCGTGACAGGAGATGTCTCCCGTGGTTGTCTATTCGAAGATGAAGATGAAGATGAAGCCACCCAAAAGGTGGCACGGGCATAAATAGCCTGTAAGTGGTGGCCATTTTAAGCCATTACCAGTATCAAGAGCTGATGCTGGAGATCTGTGGAGGTGCGAATGCACCCTGCATGACGGGAGATGTCTCCCTTGTGAATGTGTCAATGATGAGAGAGAGAGAGAGAAGATTAAGCCACCCAAAAGGTGGCTTGGGCATGAATAGCCCATAAGTGGTGGCCCTTTTGAGCCATTTCCAGTATCAATAGATGATACTGGAGATCTGTGGAGGTGCGACTGCACCCTGCGTGACGGGAGATGTCTCCCGTCGTGTGCAAGCAGCACAAGGAGGGGCCTATATAAAGAAGGGAAGAGAGGTCATGCGCTAAGCCTATCTACATCAGAGAGTAGCTGAAGGTTCGCCCTCTGCAACATGGTATCTTCAGGCAACCAAATTAGAAAGGTTAAATATCCCAAAAGGAATCCACAGGGAAATAGCAGTTAGGTTATATAGATTACGTCTAGGTTACAGATGCAATTGAGAGATTGGTGAACCCCGACAGAGAGAGTGCATCTTCTGCCAAACTGTCACAGAAAAGCCATTGCTTCACTATCTTTTGGAATGTGAAGCAACCAATGACCTTGGAAGAGCTTAAAGAGTCCCTGAATCTTGCAGTGGCCACCCTGAAGCACTCAACACAGCCACTCTCCTGGTCAAAAAAGGTGTCCAGCAGCTGGACACCCTCATAAAGACTGTCAAGCAGTATCCTCCCCCGCGATAACAGCTTGACAATTAAATGCAACCTCAGAATACTGAAAAGAATTACTGAACAAAAAATTGTACCACTTCCGGGCTATTCATGCCCCTGCCACCTCTTGGGTGGCTTAATCTTTATTAATCTTTTTATCGTCATGCGCTCTCTCCTGCCCCGCTTCGCACGTAACAGTCTTTGTAACGTAAATTTAGTCTGCCCGGTGTAGCCCGGAAGAAACTGTGGCCTCCCAGGCCGCTGGTCTATCCAGACATTTCGTCTGCCCGGTGTAGCCCGGAAGAAACTGTGGCCTCCCAGGCCGCTGGTCTATCCAGACATTTCGTCTGCCCGGTGTAGCCCGGAAGAAACTGTGGCCTCCCAGGCCGCTGGTCTATCCAGACATTTCGTCTGCCCGGTGTAGCCCGGAAGAAACTGTGGCCTCCCAGGCCGCTGGTCTATCCAGACATTTCGTCTGCCTGGTGTAGCCCGGAAGAAACTGCGGTCCCAGGCTGCTGGTTTATCCAGACGTTTCGTCTGCCCGGTGTAGTCCGGAGGAACCGGCGGCCTCCCAGGCTGCTGGTCTATGCAGACGTTTCGTCTGCCCGGTGTAGTCCGGAAAAAATTGCGGCCTCCCAGGCCGCTGGTTTATCCAGACGTTTTCGTCTGCCCGGTGTAGCCCGGAAGACTTTGTGGCCTCCCGGCCCGAAGCAAGTTCAGAGGCTTTTGCTATTGTTGTTCCTGCTGTCGGTCCCCAGCTGGCGGCGTTCTAGCTGTTAATGCTCCGGCTGTCGATGCCACAGTTGCTGCTGTCACTGCTGGTGTTGTTATCTGCAACTGATGTGCCAGCTGGCGGCTCTGCACTATCAACTTACTCTTCAGTCTTATTGTAGTAATAGTAGTAGTAGTAGGCATCTTTCAGTCTCGGGAGACTATGGAGTTGCGCCCTGGTTGTCAATCCTGATGCAGCGTCTGGCGTGACTGATGAGGCCAATCCGAAAGTGGCAGTCCATCCCACACTGAGCACAAATGCAGTCCGATTCTGGTCTGTCTTCCTGTCTACCGGCTTTCCTTCTCTGTCTTTTTGCCTCCGATTTCTTACCAAGTGACTCCTCGAACTTGGAGAGACCTCTTTGAACAGACTGCCCATAGGCTGAACGGATTGCAGCCAGTGTCTCCCACATACCAAGATCGACGTCCATGGCTTTCAGGTCCCTCTTACATATGTCTTTGTACCGTAGCTGGGGCTTGCCTGTTGGACGCTTTCCCTGCCTCAGCTCTCCGTACAGGAGGTCCTTGGGGATCCTGCCGTCGCCCATTCGCACAACGTGCCCGAGCCAGCGCATTCGTCTCTGTTTCAGCATTGTGTACATGCTGGTGATTCTTGCTCTCCTCAGGACGTTGTTGTTTGTCACCGTGTCCTGCCAGGTGATGTCCAAGATGTGTCGAAGGCAGCGCATGTGGTAGGCATTCAGCTGTTTTCCTGATGGGCGCGGAGTGTCCAAGACTCACTGCCATAAAGGAGAGTGCTCAGGACACAGGCTCTGTAAACCTGAATCTTTGTATATTCAGTCAGCCTGTTGTTGGCCCACACTCTCTTTGTCAGTCTGGACATGGTAGTAGATGCCTTATCGATGCGTCTGTTTAGCTCCATATCAAGAGAGAGGGAGTCAGAGATTGTGGAGCCCAGGTACACGAAGTCGTGAACGACTTCCAGTTTGGAATCGGAGATGCCGATGTCAGGTGGGGAGTCCACTCCTTGTCTCATGATTTGTGTTTTCTTCAGGCTGATGATGAGTCCGAAAATCTGACAGGCCTCGCTGAAGCGGGTCATGAGCCATTGGAGGTCTTTGGCTGAGTGGGCAGTGACTGCTGCGTCGTTAGCAAAAAGGAAGTCACGCAGACACCTCAGCCGAACCTTCGTCTTGGCTCTCAGCCTGGCGAGGTTAAAGAGCTTTCCATCCGACCTGGTCCGGAGGTAGATGCCTTCCGTGGCAGATCCGAAGGCGTGCTGCAGCATAACTGCGAAGAAAATCCCGAATAGGGTTGGAGCCAGTACACAGCCCTGCTTTACTCCACTTCGGATGTCAAAGGCGTCTGATGTTAGGCCATCAAAGACCACGGTGCCCTTCATGTTCTCGTGGAAAGATCTGATGATGCTGAGGAGCCTGGGTGGGCATCCGATCTTGGGGAGGATCTTGAACAGGCCATCCCTGCTGACGAGGTCGAAGGCCTTCGTCAGATCTATGAAGGCTACGAAGAGTGGCTGCTTCTGTTCCCTGCATTTTTCCTGCAGTTGTCTGAGGGAAAAGACCATGTCGATGGTGGACCTGTTAGCTCTTAATCCACATTGTGATTCTGGATAGACTCTCTCTGCAAGTACTTGGAGCCTCTTCAATGTGACTCGAGAAAACAGCTTTCCGACAATACTGAGGAGGGAGATTCCACAGTAATTGTTGCAGTCGCCTGATTGATTGATTGATGAAGATTAAGCCACCCAAGAGGTGGCACGGGCATGAATAGCCCGTAAGTGGTGGCCCTTTCGAGCCATTACCAGTATCAAAAGATGATACTGGAGATCTGTGGAGGCGCAACTGCACCCTGCGTGACGGGAGATGTCTCCCGGACCAAGTGTGGCCTCAGTCGCCTCTGTCACCTTTATTCTTATACAGCGTGACGATGTTG